GTCAAAGGAAAGTTTTAAAAATACACAGAACCGAATGAAAGTGAGAATAGCACACACCAATATCGGTGGCGCGCCGCTCTGAAAGGGAAATTTATGAGGCTATTTGCTCATACTAAAAAAGAGAAAGTTGTCAAATAAATAATCTAAGCTTCCATTTAAAGAATCTGGAAAAAGAAGAACAAAGTAAAGCAAATTTAGAGGAGGGAATAGCATAATAAATACAAGAAAAAAATCAAAGAAACTGAAAACAGGAAAAAAAAAACCCAAAATCAACGAAACAAAAATGTGATCCTTTAAATATAGCAGTAAAATACACAAACCTCTAGCAAAATGAGTGAGAGAGAGACTGATATGACATAATTAACAAAATCAGGAAGGAAACGTTATCATTACAGACCCTGCAGAAACCGAAAAGATAAAGGGAACAGTAGTAACATTTTACACGTGAATTTGACCATTTCAAAGATGCGGACAAGCTTCTCAAAGAAGCACAAGCCACTACAACGCACGCGGTAAGATATAAATACTGTGAATAAAACATCTGAATAGCTCTGTAATCTATTAAGTAAACTGAATTCTTAATTTTAAAATTCATATACCAATAAAAAATAAAGAAATAAAGAAATGAAAAGAATAAAATTCATACAGAAGAAATCTCCAAATCCTGATGGTTTTACTAAATATGCCTGCCAAGCACTGAAGAAAATTTAACACCAATTCTACCTAAAATTTTCCAGAAAATATCAGCCTTAGCAAGATTTTTCTAGATATGTCTCCTCATGTGAGTGAAGCAAAAGCAAAAATGAATTATTGGGGCTGTACCAAAATAAAAAGCTTTTACACGGCAAAGGAAATAATTAACAAAATGAAAAAGAAATGAAACCTACTGAATGGGAGAAGGTATCTGCAAATGGTAGATTCAATACGCGGTCAGTATCCAAGATATATAAAGAACCTAGACAACTCCACATCGGAAACCCAAATCATGCATTTAAAAAACGGGCAGAAAGTCTGAATATACATTTCTCAAAAAAAGACATCCAGATGGCCAACAGGTGCTTGAAAAGATGCTCAACATCATTAATCCTCTGGGAATCCAACTCAAAACCACAATGAGATACCACCTTACCCCAAGGGAACACACCCCAACTCCTTACATAAAGTCAATATTATCTGATACCAAAACTGGATCAAGACAAAAAAGTAAACTTTGTCAGGGAGATCCCTGGGTGGCTCAGCGGTTTAGCGCCTGCCTTTGGCCCAGGGCGTGACCCGGGATCGAGTCCCACGTCGGGCTCCCGGTGCATGGAGCCCGCTTCTCCCTCTGCCTGTGTCTCTGCCTCTTTCTCTCTCTCATGAGTAAATAAATAACATTTAAAAAGAAAAGAAAACTTTGTCAGCTCTGCTTCCACGGTGTCCAGGCAATCACGGGGATGACAACACACGGGGTAGCGACAGCCCCTGCAGAGCCCCACACGTGGCACATGGATGCGCCAAGGCGTCCAGACAAAACCCGCTCCCCGCTCAGCGCCAGGAAGGGCTTGGGGGTGACGGCCTAGGGGCACAGCGCCGGGAGCAGGGGCCGCTCCCCACCTGTGTGTGCGACCTGCACGTCGGCGACTCTGGAGAGTCACCCTGTGCCCACATCCCCGGGACAAACGGGAGCAGGAATGGCGCCTTCCCCGGACTCCCACATGGCTCATGGGTGACCACCGGGGCCGGAGACGACGGTCACTGCTAAGTCAACATTTGGGTGGCCACGGGCTTTCCGAGCCCTCTGTTTGCTTCTCGAATCAGTTTCGATCCTGGAAACTGTGCGGGAACCGGTGCATCTCGGAGTTTTCAAATCTCCTGCTAGCGACGAATCCTGAGTGTTTCCCTTGTGTCTGCTTTTAGCACGGCTCTATGTGCCGCCGAGCCTTCCGTCCCTAACACCCGCCTCATGCCCTTTCTTTCTTCTTGGTCAGCTGCTCTAAGGCTTTCCCATTTTGAAGACCTAAGGTTGGACGTCTTTGTTCTGGAAGCGAAAGACCCTCCAAGTCCCTTTGGAGTATCTGACCCCCGGGGCCCGCAAGCCCTCGCCGTGCGCCAAGCCTACTCCCGTGTGACAGACCCGACCCCCAGGCCCCAACAGAGAAGACATGGCAGGTCAAAGTCCGGACTCGCCTGCTCTCGGGCCAGCCAGAGATGCATGGACATGACCCTCACCCTCCTGTTCCAAAAGCACCGTGTGAACCACCAAGAGAAATGACTGAAATGTCTGAAATATGGAACTATTGACTTCCTACACCAAGAGAAGCAAGGCTAGAGAAACACAGGTGGGGACACGGGGACCACCCCGGAGGAGACACCGGCCTCTCCACGGTGAGCGGCCCGTTCGCACCCACGGGGACAGAGCGTGGGCCAGGACGGGTCAAACACATACGCCACAAAGAAATACGAAGGGCAACCGTGTGGGGAGAGGCCCTCCGGCGTCAGTGAGGGCCAGGAGGCACAGCAAGGCCCGCCCGGAAGTGGAGGATGGACAAAGAAGACCAGACTCCTCTCCGGGACGCACGCCGGGCCCCCGACCACCAGGCCCGCCTCAGCCGGCCCCCCATGGACTGGCGGGCCCCGGGCCCCCGCTCAGAGGCCACCGCTACCGGAGCCGCGCGCGATCGCGGGGAACTTCCAAGGAGAACATGGAACACGGCGGAACCGGGAGACCCCCCGGAGCGAAGTCGCGCCTGCTCTCCCGACGACACAGCTGAGGCCTGCTCCCAGGCGATGAACAAGGATGCTCGGGAGGAGTCACGTTTTCAAAACACGGAGTCTCAACGTCGGGGCCGAGAACACAAAGTCCCGCGCGCACGCCGGGGAGGAAGGCACAACGGCCTCAAGTTAGTCAAAGCACCGGTGGATCCGTCCGTGGGAAAATGCAGAAAATCTAAATATCCAGACCCAGAGTGACAACACGGTAAGAGCAGTCACCGGGCTGACGGGTCGGGGTGACATCTGCCATCCTGCAGATTTGCTGCGCCCGCATGCCGGCCCTGAGCCTCCCGGTGTCTGGGCTCCCCCCTCTGCGGGATGAGCCCTTGCTGGCGGAGCTGCCACGAGCACGCAGACTGGCCCCGTGACGGCAGGAGTGCGTGTGACCGCTGGTCCCTGCGGCCGGGGCCGGGGGTGCGGGGAGGGCGCAGGCCTGGGAGTCTGCATGCACGTGCGGTCCACACCGCGGCCACCACTGCAGCATCGCATGCGGCCGACCCCAAGCTCGGGGGCCCAACAGGCCCAGAGCCTCACGTGGTCATCGGGAAAGGCAGCCACGGGAAGAGAAGAGATGAAGACAGACACGCGCCGAGCACGGAAAGAAAGACATCCGAAAGGAAACGCAGAGGAGATGGAAGACAGGAGAGCAAAGGAAAACTCAGAAGAGAAAGACACAGCGGCGGCCCCCAAACGTCGCTTCTTCCAGGGTGTCGGGGAGGCATCCAAGGGGGGTCCCCGCGCTGCGCGTCCAAGCGTCTCAAAAATGGCCAAGGGACCCTCAGTTGGCGGGGCTGATGTCGGAGGAGGCGCTCAGGGACCAGCCCCGGGGACTCCGGATCGTACGCACGTGTGTGCATGCACACGCAGCTCAGCCACACACACGTCTGCACACATGCGCACACGGTCACGCTCGCATCCGCACACGCATCCACACATGTGCAGTTACGCACACATCCACACGTATATGCACACACCCGACCTTTGCATGCATATGTTCACGTGTCCCCACATACATGTACACACATGCACACACTCACGTACAGACACTGGCATGCACAGAGTCCACACGAATGCAAATCCACACGCGTAGACATACACAGACATGGACGCTTGCACACATGCTCCACATATACACATACACGTGTGTACAGACACAAATGCACACGTTTCCGCACATGTGGCCCACACCCATGCACACCACGCATGTGCACGTACGTATACACGCAGACGTGGATCTCCCACAGACAAATCCATCCGGATACGCACACACAATCTAAGCATACGTACGTCATCTGCTTCTAAACCACAACCTACCTTCACTGTAAACACTAGGTATCGTTATAGTATCTATAAATAAAACACACGCGTGTGCATGTTTTAGAAGGGCAGCCCGTACCCCACGCCCTGCGTCTGCAATACGGTGGGCTCTCACGTACGGAGCAATCCCACCCGCCACCCCACGGAAACAAGGCTCAGCACCGACGCTGAGGGGAAGCCTCGCCGGGGGCTCCCAGCCCACCCGGCACCCCTGACGGGACGAGCCCAGGACTCCGGGCAGTGTGCACCCATCCAGCTCGCCATCTAGGTGGGGGGGGGTGGTCCCGCGGCCCCAGGAGGCTGTGGCAGGGGCCGGCCAGGGGGCCCCCCAGCTTCACAGCCGAGCTGCTGGCCAGGGTGACCGTGACAACCACTGTCACAGGGACACCCTCGGGTCCGCGGAGCTTTAGCCTCTGGCCGGCGGGTCAGGGCCCACCACACCTGTGCCAGGGCCGGTCAGGACCTGCCTCACCACCCCGGCTCCAAGGGAGTGGATTCCAGCTGGATCCCACCCAAACTCCCCCCACAGGTGAAACCCCGCCCTCCGTGCCGGCCTTGGAGCAGCTCAGCCCCTGCAGGGCAACAAACCCACAGGGCGAGCTCTGCAGCTCTCCCTGCCCCCTCCCAGCCCTACAGTGTCACCTGGGCACACCGTCTGACCAATGGGGAGACTGAGGCTGCGGCCCCAGAGGGTGGCAGGTTGCCACGTCTACGGAGTCCCCACTGCCACTGCCCTGTCCCCTCTTGCCTGAGGCCCCTGAGCATCCCCACCCTGAGCTCCATGCTCCCCGCTGGGTGCTCCCGGCCCTGCACCCCGGGCCTACACTGTGCTGTCCGCGCCCCCCACCCGGCCCCATGCCCCCAGCTGTGCTCCCCACCCCGTGTCCCCCGTGGGCCCCGTGCCCCTGCAGGTGAGAGCCCCCCGCGCCCACCTGCTTCTCGTTCTCGTCCTCCAGCCTCAGCCGGTCTTCAATGTAGCTGCGGGCCTGCAGGAAGGCTTTCCTCTGGGAGCGCTCGGCCAGGACCCTCACGAAGACCCCGTACATGTTCACGCTGAGGAAAAGCAGGGCGTTGGCTCCGAGCTGGAAGGGAGAGAGCACAGGGCACCTTACGCGGGGGGCGCGAGCTCGGCGGGGCTCCTCAGCCTCCACACCCAGCCCGTGTCCCCACCGCACTGCCCAGGCGGCCGCGGGTGCCGGCGAGGCTGCTTCCCGGACCAGGAGCCGGGGCGGCAGGTGCACTCCTCGTCCCGAGTGGGCCGCCTCATGCGGTGGCAGCACAGCACGCAGGGAGCTCTCCGTCCCCGGAGCCAGGCTCACCTGCCGCGCTCTCCTCCTGGCACCGGGACAGCGCCCCCTGCACGCCGCGCAGCCAAAAAACCGCTGTCCCGCGAGGGTCCCCGGGAGCCGCCCGTCCCATGTGACCCGCTCCCCGCCCTGTGACCGGCCCGGCCGTGCTGCTGCAACCCTGGTCATCTCCAGTCCCGGGAGCCCACCGCTGCGCCCTCGCTGGAGCGCTCCTAGCCTGAAGCAGGCTCACGGCGCCAGGGAGGTGCTTCTGTGGTGCCTGCAGCAGCCTCCCACCGGGCCCGGGGGCAGCAGGGGCGGCGCGGCCTCGGGGGCCTGTGCCACGTCCCGGGGCGTCCGCTCAGGCCACCTGCTCAGCCGGGGCTCAGCTCGTGCCAGTTGTTCCTGAAGCCACGAGTCGGGGGCGGTGGGCAGCGCGGGTGCGGGAGGCCACGGACGGGGTTCTGCAGGGTCAAGGTGCTCCTTCACGTGCCCCGGGCGCCGTCGTGGGCGCCTTTCCACCCCCCCACACGCTGACAGGTCCCTGCGCGGAGCACACGTCTTTTCCAGGCCGACACACGACCCGTCTGGCCTCTCTGTGCCCCCTCCTGGCCTCAACCGCGCATGTGGCAGCAAAGGGACCGGCGAGCCACGTGCCCTCCCAGCCCGGCGCCCCACAGCCCCCATGCGGGCACCCCGCTCGGAGGCACAGAGTGGGAGGTCGGGACCCCACGGGCTGCCCTGCCCTGGGCCAGAAGCGGGACACGGGCCAGCGGGAGGCCAGCGGGCCAGGGGAGAAGCAGACAGCAGAGCGGCGGGGCCCAGGTCGCCGCCCTACAAGCACCTCATCATTCCTTCCCTCCCCCCCCCCCCCCGCCACGATGATCCATCCGGGGAAACTGAGGCCCCCTCGCCGGTCAGCCCCGTGAGCACTGGTGAAGCTGCCCGCGTGCAGGAGGAGTCCGTGTCCAGCGGGCCGGGGGCGGGGGGCTCCTCTGCCTGGCGCTCTGCATGCACCTGGCCCGGGGCCTCCCTGCACCCCCACCTGCCGGCCGGCGCTCCCCTCCCTCCTGGCGTCGCCCACACCCCATGGTCGGGCACAGCCCTGCCCGGCGGGCCGCAGGGCGCCCTCAGCGTCGGCCACCTAACCAGCCAACAGTGATGGGGGTGATGCCTGGAGCTCACCTGCTGACAGGTGTGACCGGGGGCGGGGGGAGTTCACATGGGGAACTGTGGAGGTGGGGGACACCCCACCCGAGGCTGGAGCAGGGCATATCGGGGTCCAGACGAGCACCCCAAGACCCACAGGTTGACAGGGCCACAGGGTAGGGTGGCAGGAGCCACAGGGCCGGCCAGGGAGGGCCCGGCGTAATCTGCTGCCTCTCTCGTCTGGCCTCTGGGTCCCCGCCAGGACGCCGGCCTGTGGAGGAGGGCGCCCCGAAACCCTGCTCGCCTGTGCCACCCCCTCCCCCCGTGAAGAAACCCAGCCCTTGCGGCCGCCCCATCCCGCTACCCACTCAGGTCCCCGGTGCTGCCCTCCTCGTTGCCCCACGGCCACGTGAGAGCAGCCATGCCCACTGCTGCCCCACCTGGCACCTGGCGCAGGCCGGGCCGGGCCACAGGAGCGGGGCGTCCGCACCCCTCACGCACTATGCTCCCGCCTCCCTTGCTGCGGCGCTCCCCCAGGGGGGCTCCAGGCAGGGGTCCCAGGGAGCGAGGCCCCTGCCCTGGCCGCTTTGGGCCACTGCCCCAGTCACCACCTGCTGAGCGGTGGCCCCTGGCCGCACAACCACAGGGGGTCCCGGCAGGTGACTGGTCCTCGCCGCCCCCACCGTCATTGTCACCAACGGACGCAGCGGCACTCAGGACGTGCGGCCCTGGGCTGAAGCGACTGCTGCACACTCTGCAGCCCTGAGCTTCTGGCCTCTGCACACCTGCCCCACGCCCCCGGCCTCCTGTACCTGCCCCACGCCCCCGGCCTCCTGTACCTGCCCCACGCCCCCGGCCTCCTGTACCTGCCCCACACCCCCGGCCTCCTGTACCTGCCCTCACCCCCGGCCTCCTGTACCTGCCCTCACCCCCGGTCTCCTGTACCTGCCCCACACCCCCGGCCTCCTGTACCTGCCCTCACCCCCCGGCCTCCTGTACCTGCCCTCACCCCCGGCCTCCTGTACCTGCCCCACACCCCCGGCCTCCTGTACCTGCCCCACACCCCCGGCCTCCTGTACCTGCCCTCACCCCCCGGCCTCCTGTACCTACCCCACACCCCCGGCCTCCTGTACCTGCCCTCACCCCCCGGCCTCCTGTACCTGCCCCACACCCCCGGCCTCCTGTACCTGCCCTCACCCCCCGGCCTCCTGTACCTGCCCTCACCCCTGGCCTCCGGTACCTGCCCTCACCCCCCGGTCTCCTGTACCTGCCCTCACCCCTGGCCTCCTGTACCTGCCCCACACCCGTGGCCTCAGCACACAGGCTCCTCAGGACTGTCCACCCTCCACTTTCCAAAGCCCACACTGCTCTGGACACAGGGCCCTGTCAGGGCCTCGAGGCTACAGGTGTCCCGCCCTGGAAGCCCCACTCCGTGTTCTCTCCTCCTCCCGCCCACCCCCTTCACTGCGCTCTCCCGCTGGGCCCTGCTTCCAGTGAATCCTCTGGACGATCACTGGCCGCGAAGTCAGAGGCCCGGGTTCAAATCCAGCTCTGCCCACTGCCAAGGGACCCCATGCAAATGGGACCACCACTCGCACCTGCAGCGTGCTGACGTGGGTAACACCCCGCTGTCCCCCCTCCCTGCCACTTCCCAGTGAGTGAAGAAACCAACAAGGAACTGCTCCACCACAAACACCATCTCCTTCCGTAATCAGGGTGTCACCAGCCGAATCAAATCTGTAGACATACACGCCCCATTCAAAACATCCACCCATCCATCCACCCACTCACCCAGCCACGGACTCACCCACCTGCCCACTCACCCAGCCACCCATTCACCCACCCATCCATCCACCCACTTACCCATCCACCCACCCGTCCATCCACCCACTCACGCATCCACCCACTCACCTGTCCATCCACCCACCCTTCCATCCACCCCCTCACCCAGCCACCCACTCACCCACCCACTCACACATCCACTCACCCATCTATCCACCCACCCACCCATCCATCCACCCACTCACCCATCCATCCACTTCCCCATCCAATCCATCCATCTACGCATACATACATACATCCCCTACCCACTCACCCATCCGTATCATCCATCTATGCCCTCCCACCCATCCATCCTCATGTACTCAACCACCCACCCACCCACCCATCCATCCGCACCCACCCATCCACCCATGCACCTATCTATCCGCCATCCATCCTTGCATCCGTCCATCCACTCAAGCACAACAGGGGCAAGGCTTTGGATCTGTGTCCACTCCAGGAAGGGCTGGCAGGCCTCCTCGCCTTAGACGGGCCAGGTGGCTCCAGGAGTCCCGGGAACCTCAAAGGACAACAAGGGCGACAACCGAACATCGACGTCAAAGCACTTCTGGAGGGGACGACGCATGCGAGAGCTCTGGCTCAGAGGCACGCGTGGCCCACCCCAGTCCACACGGCGCAGCCACGCACATCCGCTACAGAGAAGACCCCTCCGTAAGGTAGAAGCTGAGGCCACAGTCGGGGGATGACCTGTCCAAGGCGAAGCTGAATTATGCAGGGTGGGAGCGGCGCAGAGCTCACCGCCCGGCCCGCGTGGGCACCACACCGACACCTGTGCGAAGCGTCCGGGGCCTGTGTGAAGCGGTAACGGACGTGGCTCAGGGGGAAGCCGCCCCTGGCCCGGGAGGCAGCACCACTGTGAAGGACCGGACTGAAAGCCGTGAGCCAGGGCACCTGCTTGCTGCAGGAAAAGTGGCCACAGCGCTGCCGCGTCTCCTGCCCTCGCACCTGACTGCAGAGGACCAGAAGCGAGCTCCTGCGCTGCCTCGGCTTCCAGGAAGCCCCATTCCTGCTCCCGGCAGCTCCACGGAGCGCTTGGCTCACCAGCGGGGCACGCAGGCTGGAGGTGCAAGGGCCACACGCAAGGCCAGAGCGGCGGGAAAAGCCGCCCAGGGCGCCTCCTGCATGGCCACGAGGCGCAGGAATGGGTCGAAGCAGACCCCTGCCCCGTGGACCTGGGCAGATGCCAATGGGACAGGCACGGGGCGGGGATGGGGGGTCACCTGGAAACGAGTATGCGTGGCTGGGCAGGCACACGGCCCTCTGCCCCCGGGTGAGCAGCCAATCCCCGCCCCACAGCCCACAGCGGGCCCCCGGGGCCTCACGCTGCCCTGGGGCTCCCGGAGCGGGGCCAGGCGCCTGCCCCTTGCTGCTGCAGCACGGGCCCCCTGCCCCCGGGGTCACGCCCCGTCTGACGCACACCTACTCCAGCAGCCACGGGCTGCACGACGCAGAGTGACGCCGGCCGTGCCGACCACAGGCATCACCTTGAACCTCACAACCACTGACAAGTCTTGAGACCAAGAACTCAACCCCAGAACACGCTTTCAAAGCCAGGAGCCAGGGTTCGAGGCGCGGCAGGAGGGCGGGCCGCCCCCAGGAGGCCGGGCAGGGGCAGCAGAGCCAGCACCCTGCCAGCCCGGAGGCGGGAGTGTCTGCAGACCCACTGGGGACACGGCAACCCGGGAATGCAGGGGGCCAGGTGCCACCGCATCCAGATCGCGCGGAGCCGAGGCACAGCCTGCGACCCCACCGCCCACACCTAGCGGCAGGATGCGGCTTCACAGAGGCTGGCACACAGCCCGAGC